GGATGCGCTATGTAAACTTGAGCAGCAGATAAAAGGCGGTCTATGCACAGTCGAGAGGCGGCTGGCTTTAAAATTGCCCCCGGGCTCACACACAAACCCAAACGCACATACAGAGCCAGAACACCCTTTGGCAGAGCCAGAGCCAGAGCCAGGGCCAGGACAAACGATGGCATCGAGCAGAGCAGGGCAAACTCAATAAGTCGCATAAAAGACTGAAATTGGATGCCATTGCAAATAAACACAAACGATGCCGATGCCGACAATGTTGTCCTTGCCAGATCCGTTGGCATCTCCGTCCCAGTAGCCGTCCGCTGGAATTCCTTTGAGTCGCGCGGCAATTGCGTCGTCATTCTCCTACTCATCTCCATCTTTCCATTCTCTCTCTTTTGCTATCTCCTTTCCAACTTCTCTTCGTGGCTTTCAAGTTTAATTAAGTGCGACACGGATTCCGCGTGGGAGTGTCCCGATCGCAGGCGGCATTCTTCTCCTTTGTGAGTCGAGGCTCTAATAAGGGCTAATTGAAAGCGGCGAACTTCTGTCGAGACCAGCCTCATCCTTAGCCGGTTGTCTTTATCCACCGCCAAAAGATTTCCACCTGGAAGAAGAAGCCTTGCTTCTCCTGAGTTTTTCATCTAACTGGATCAGACTGACAAGCTAAGGAATTATTATCAAGTCTATTATAGATAAATGTTCAAAGTATTTCAGGCAATTATTGTACGTAGTATTGTACGCATATAAATTTTATATTTTTGAAATATATATAATCATAATTAAATATTAACAAACAAATTTCAAAAATGTTCCGAAAATTTTTCAACTAATACAATTTTACAGCTCGACACCCTCCCTAGCGTCGAGATGTATTTGCATAAAGAATTTGTAGGGGAACCCAACTGATAATTAGGCGTTTCATTTCAGTGTTTTGAAGTTTGCTCCTGTTCGTCTTTTGTTTCACTTGACAGTTGATAAAAGTACACATTTTATGAACGGCAGATGTGTAATCCTCATAAAAATACGTATAAATATGTCCCCTATATGTAAGTCTGCCTTTGTGACCTGACATTTATTTACCCTTGCGGTGGCTTTGTTTTCCCTGGCTTTCTTTTTATTCCACTCCCCTTTGTTGCTGTCCCTGTTGTTGTAGTAGTTGTTGTTATGCAAAGGTGGCATAATGTGTTAATTGTTTGGCCCACACCCACCCTCTGAACGCCCTGGCCACACCATCATAGCTGCCCCCGACACTTGAGGGCAGCTGTCGGTTGAGTCTGCTGCATATTTCATCGCATAGCACTCGAAAATAAAGGAAATTGTACAAGACATTACCGCGGACTGGTCATACTGGCAAATCAGGGCAAGTGCCTAATAAACGGCTATTGAATGCTGCCCTGCCCCAAGGAGACAGAAGGCCCTAAGGGGCAGTCCTCTCCGACAATACGTTAAACAAGTTGCAAAGCTTTCTGCCGCATTTTCCCCCACCATTTCCCAGTGGGACTAGGACCAGGACCAGGACCAGCCACTTAGGTATTCAGAGTTTACCGATTTGTCCGACTTGCTTATTTGATAGTCCCGACAAGATATTCAATACGACAAGTAGTTTGCCCCGATTCCACGATGATGGCAGCTTGCGATCATTTTCATTATTAGATTTGTATAGGATTTCATGGGGCTTGGTAGGGGGGTGGGGCCTGGTGGCTGGGCTGTCAGTGCAGATGGGGCTGGGGGCCAAACAAATGAACCTAATATGCATTATTATTATGACATGTGAAAACGAAAGCGTGGAAGCAAATGGAGGGCGGGAGAGTGGGTACGTGGGTACGGTACGTCGATAAAACGGTCATGCGAGGGAACGAATGCCAAAGTTGAAGTAAATATTCAATAAAAAATAATCGAAGCAGAAACCAGAACGAAATGAGCATAAAAATGGGGAAATGTCGAGGAGGGAAATCCGAATTCAAACCAAAACCAAAGGAGGAGACAGGCGAGGGCAAATACTGGAATGCAATAAAAATCTATTTTATTTGTTAGTGAAATGACATTTTTATTTGTTTGCTGTTTATGCACATCCACAGAGAAGCCCCGCCCCCAGGCAGGGCACTGCCACTGCCTCTGTCACGTCACCCATGTTGTATGGGCAATATTCTCGTATGCAGATAAATAAACTATTACACAGGATTACTCATATGATTCGCCTCCTGGCATTGAAGGGTATTTTGACAGGTTACGATATTTAATCATTTGACTATGCAAAATAATTGACACAAGCTCTGCTGCCTCCGTCTGTTTTTGCTGCTAATAAACTCAATAAAAATTGTCGTTGCACATGGCAATAGTCATGTTTGTTCGGCTAACTAAACCAAGACATGCAGACCCAGATCTCACTAGTGCACATTCATATAGATAAACATATGTATGTATCTTCCTGGGATATCTCGATTCGCTCTGCTCGGGCATGCCGCATTAAGTTTTAATTAAACTGTTTTAGCCCCACTGCCTAATGCGGCGTGTGATTGAGTCGACTGCCGGCTTTAACCCTTCACTGAGCGGCAGACAACCCTCAAAGCGCACTCAGCCCTGACAGCGTGTAATCCAAACAAAAGTAATTGTCATCCGGCGAGAGCCGGCCATATGCCCGAGCTCTCAGGGGAAGGAAGCGCGATTGGGCCCGACTTTGGCAAGTGTTAATGATTGTCTGGCTGAGGCGCTGTTCTTGGGCGTTAATCTGCCATTTAATTTGCTGGATTAACGCGTTTTGTTTTGGTTACCATCGCAGATAATCCCTATGCTCTACTCTGGACTACCTAATTGCTGTCGTCTTTGTCCTGGGACAAACCACAAAATGACACAATTCCCATTCGATATCTGGGCTCTGGCCCTTTTCGTCCTTGTCCTGTCTCCCAACGAATGCGAATAGGAATATTGCCATTTAAACAACAATCAAAGAAGCCACAGAGAATATTCCGACACAAATGCAAAATCCAATCAAACTTTTTAAACAAACATTTAGCAAATCTATTACAATGCAATGACAGCAGCAGAAAACGGAATAAAGAAAAAAAGAAATTGTATTTGGTGGATGGCTGACTGCGTTTTGGAAGGAAACAACTCTGTCAACTGTGGTTACAATTTCCTTTTTTCCAGCCTACCAGGGAGTACGACTCTGTATGTGTGTGGAAACTTAATCAAAACAAATTTCCACCTTCAACGAGTTGCACACCAAGCAATTTCCCAGCAAAAAAAAAGGAGGAAAAAGGAGAAAACGATAACTAGAACTTCATGCAAACTAACCGCAAATACGATTACACACAGATAGGGGGAGGGTATTGGGTGTGGTGTGGAAAGGGTATGGAATGTGTATGTTAAGGGTATGTGCACCCCACTAAATCGAAAAAACGAGTCAAAGGGTTCAGTTCCGCCCTCGGTCCCTGGATCCCTGGCTCCCTGGGTGGATGGTGTGGGGTCCTCGAAAGCTCCCTCCAAATCCTGCTCCCACTCCGGCTCCTGCTCGAAACTTGGGCCCGTTTCGGGTCCTGCTGGCATAATTTGAATTCGTGTCAATTTGACAAAGTGACACATGAGGGCCGACCCCGGACCCGGTGTAAGGAGAAATTTTTATGCGATTTCGCTTCATTACTTTTGTATTTCGTTTATACAGTTGGGCTATAGATACTCGTATACCTATAAATATATACGATTTTTGTTGCTTTTTGTTTATTTATTTATGTCCTGGGTTGTGTTGGAGACGACTACGACTACGACTGCGACGACAACGACGACAGTGTCGCCAACTCTGGCTCTGGCTCTGGCTCTGGCTGTGGCACGATAATGTTTAGTCAATAAAAATGATTTGTCGGCTAAGGAAACGAAACGAAATCATGAAATTTGATATGTCCCGTACATTTTCCGGGGAGGGAGGAAGCTTACTCCTTACGTCGCCGCTGCCTGGAAAACTATGCCAATCGCCTGGTCCACTCCAGAACTTGGAGCAGCCTCAAAGCAGAGCCTTCCTTCTTCTTCCCGCCAAGGCAGCCAAGGCACCCACTCCGGCACGTCGATAGTTTCTGGTAAAGCGTATTTTATGCTACACCGCCGTGAATGGAATTTACGAGGCGCCCTGCCCGTTCACGTCACAATTTGCCACCCGAAACGAATGGCTGCCAGACATGGCATGGCATCCTGCCACACTGCCTCAGACATTGCCACTGACACAGCCACAGCCACAGCCACGGGGCGCATAAAAGGCGCACAGTCGCATAAAATGCATAATTCTCTCCGCCAAAGAAAGGAAAACTTATTGAATGGGCCACCGACCAACTTGAAACTCTTTTAGCGTTGTCATTTCGCAATTGAGACATAAATTGTTCTAGGCATTTGGAGGAAAGTTATGCCCAAAGTTTGACAAATATTACTACACAGTAAGGGATCCCCAGAGGGACAATAGGCATTGAAAATTTTAAATGAATCGTCCAATGAATCAAATGGGTTTTCGGGTTCAGTTATACAGTGGATGTAATTGATGATATGGCGGCTGTGAAAACTAATCAAGTTTGAATTGAAAATGATTGTACGAAATGGTTCGAAAATAAGCTCTGATTGATTTGTGTACTATGTATCTCTTCAATTAATATTAACCGATAACTGGGGAAAACGAGTAAAGTCGGGAAGAATCGCTAGCCATCACAATGTACCCTCCAAACCGGTTCTCCCACCTGCCACCCAGCTATAAATCCTTGTCAAATCGCAAAAAGATATATACTTTTTTTTAGCACCTTTCCTAGATGAGGATGGAAGGTCTGAATAGCTGGCACAGCTTAATTTCGTTAAAATAAATTGCAAACGGAAATTATTTAATTTCCGGGGCCTGGCTCCGTCTGCGGCTCCAGATAGACACAGACACGTTGATTGCACAATTAGCAGAGCAGAACAGAGCAGTGCATAGAATAAGGCAGAGGACGAGACAGAGGAACCTGCATCGGTAGTGGGAGGGATCGGAGATAGCTTACCTGGACACGCACTTCGGGCAGGTTCACCTTCATGGCCAGCTCCTCGCGCGAGTAGACATCGGGGTAGTGCGACTTCTCGAAGGCCCGCTCCAGCTCGTGCAGCTGGTAGGTGGTGAAGGTGGTTCGGTTCCGACGGTGTTTTTTCTTGGCACAGTTGTCGTCCTGGCCTGGAGGGGGTCAGTGCAAAAATATGATAAGTTCAGAGCAGGACATGGGACATGGGACTAGAGTAGAGTTTGGTGCACCCACCCTCATCATCGCTGCCGGATGTGATTTTCTCGCCCTGCTCGCTGCTGTTGGTCTGGTTGAGATCCTCACTAGAGGCGCAGCTACCGTTGACCAGGCTCTCAGTGTCCCCAGCCAGACGATCGCCATGTTCGGCTGCATTGTTGCCACTGCTCCGGTACTCGTGCTGAAAGTTCTGCTGCTGTTGCTGCTGCGAATTCTGCTGCTGGTGGGACTGTTGCTGCTGCTGTTGCACCTCGTCCAGGTTCCGAGCTCGGATGGCGTAATTGGCCAACTGTGACTGCTGCTGCTGGCCGTTGGCTAATTTCGTCTCGTTCTCATCACAGTACTTGCGCTTGCTGGCTAGGGCTCGGTCGCCGGGTGTGGGCGGCGTGGTCACATCGATGTTGCCTTGGTCACCGTCGAGCTGCATCTTTGCCGCATCATCCTCGTCCTCCTCCATCTCGCTGCTGGAGGACATTGAACGCTCGTCGTAGTCGCCGCCTCTGGCCATCTGTGTATGCGACTGCGCGGCAGCAGCAGTTCCAGGCGCCGTCTGGTCATCCAGAAAGTAGCCTCCAGGAGGAGCCGCCGCCGCAGTTGCTGTCGTGGGCGATGACTTGGCATACTTTCCATGCTGCTGCTGTTGCTGCTGGTGCTGGTGCTGCTCCTGCGCATGCGCAGCCAGTGCTGCCAAATGCTGCTGGTGGCTGCCATAGGAATTGGGCGGAGGTGGCGGTGGGGCCGCCGGCGGAGGCTGAGGAGCGGTCTGCAATTGATTGGCCTCGACCATTTGGTGCATGGAGCTGAGGTAATTGCCAGCCGCGTCCTCCTGCTGCCCATACCCATGACTCTGCCCGAAACCGAAGGCATTATGATAGCCGAACGGGGCATGGTGGGGCTGGTGGTGGTGGCCAGCCTGTGGATGTGGATGTGGCTGTGGCTGGGGCGGCGGGCCTGGCATCTGCCCGCCATGGTGCGGCTGCTGCTGCTGGCCGCCACCGGGAGGAGTTGGTGTGCCGTAGGGTAAGACTCCTCCGTTCTTGGCGTGCTGCTGCAGCATGCTTGCCATGTGCTGATCCATATTTCGCAGCTGCGTCAGCGTCATACCGCAGCGCAGATCGGTGGCATCCTCATCGCCCATTGCGGGATCCATGTCTCCTGGAAGGCAGTGAGGAAATGTGTATGGGTCAGATCTATCTAGTATTATATTCACGACTTTTTCACTCTTTTCCCAGGACTATTTCGTTTGTTAGATCATACTCTAGTCGTGGCTGCCGCCTCCCCGCACCTGCTCAGTCACCTGATTCGATTTTAATTAGTATGTTCAATGAGGCAGACAAGTCATAAAGCCGTGTGTTAGACGGGTGGCTAAGAGCCCGCCAGCCCGGCTAATAACAACGTGTTATTTAATTTGGTGGTTGTTGGTGGGTGAGCCTTCGGTGTCGGCCTTTGGACCTGTTAGACCTGTTGGCCGCCCACCCACTAATAAACGGCTTTCAATTAGCCGCCTCGTATTTACAATGTGAGGCAATAAAAATTCCGAGAAAACCAAAGGCTGAGAGGCACACATAAATAGAAGGAGCAGGGTATGGCTCTTAGGGGGAACTGGCTTAGATGAGGAGGTATGGTATTTGGTCCCTAATGGGCGTTCCAACTGGCGGTCGGGCATATCACGTGACATGCAAGGAAGTCATTAGTTGTCGCCGCTCCAGTGCCAGGCGGCAATGTGGGCTTGTAGAGTGGAGCGGGTGGGGTTTTCGGGGGGCTCTTGTTTGCAGTGACTTTTGTGCAGTTTGTGGGCTGGATTTTGGTGTAACCAAATTCAATTTCTATGCTAAATTGGCTTTCGAGGCGGAGATGGAGTCGGAGCCGGAGCCGGAGCCGGAGCCGGAGCAGGAGAATAGAAAGAAATCCAATTATTCCGTCAAACCCCGAGTTTTGAAGTCGCAGGCACAGAAATATCTGTAATTATCTGATGGTCTTTTGTTTAATTGCTTTTTGATGTATGTAAGTCGGTCCGAGAGCGTTCGCCCAAACGATTGTCTAATGTAATTATGGACTTCACAGCCATAGCCGATACTCTTCCCCAATTCGATTAATTGGGTCAACGTCTTGGCCAATTAACTTCAAATCGTAAATGCCCCGCATTAACCTCTCCGAATATTTTCACCAATCAATCGACATTTACACGCCCAGCATGCGACTTTTCTGAGCCACTGTGGTGCTAATGAAATTAACAACAAAACATTCCGAAAGCCTCTGCAAATGAAGTAGCACAAAAGACTCCCAACTCGACACGAACCAGAACCGGGTACCAGGTATATGCGCCAGCGAATGGAAACCACATGAGGCAAGGTGAGAGACAGTAGCCGGCACCACCGAGCGGGGCCACACGGAGTGCGTGAGTTAATTGCGTGAGCAGCGAAAAAAGAGGTTAAGACAAAAGTTTTTGTGCCCAAGAGTGATTCAGGGGAGAGGAGAGTGGTATACTCACGAGCAATTGGAAAGAGTGTGAATGATGTGATGAATATATTCAAAGGGCGCAGCTTCAACTTCCGAAATGTTTCCCTACAAAAGTTTAGATAGTGCCTTGACATGATATAGCTCTCAAATTTATCCATACATAACTGGCTTTAACTACAAGCCTTATTCATAAATAATGAAGCAATGATGCTACCGAACGCTGTACTGAACAAACCGCCTGAACTACGCTCATGTGCCATTCACTCATCGATTCGATCGAGCGAAGTTCGTTACCCCAGTTGGGTACGAGTGTTCATTCAGTCCTAGACGAACAGCACAGCCAACTGATCGACACTTCAATTAAGAAATGATTTCCGTACGCTCTCCATTAGCTGCTTTGGCAATTAAAGTTGGCAGCTGGAAATTTGACAGCCGAATTTTGTGCGTTGGTTTTTTGGGAGTTTTCAACTCTTATTAGCAGTAAATATTCGATTATCAGAGGCTAAAAGGTTTTGCTACTGGGGGAAGGGAGATGCTAGACCGCGATAAAAGTTACATCGAAGAGAGCCAGCCTCGTTCTGCTCTAATTTGTTCTGATCCGTTTCCGACGAACCCCGACCAGACTGAGGGACAAATTGACGTTAATCGCGTCACTTCTTTAGCCCCATTCCCATTTTTTCCCATTCCGATTCCCTTGCCCTCTCCCTTTCACTGTCTATCCCTAATGATGATTTGACAGATTCCCATTGTGGGCAAATACTTGGCCATTAGGCGGCCTAATTGATATGTTATTAGCCACAAACAACAAAGCCCAGCATACAGCATTTTGAAAAGTCATGGCCCAAACAGGTAGAGGCCCTGAAAGGAAATGCACATTTCGGTTCGACATCTTCCGGCGCAAGAGCCGCAAGAGGCGCAAGAGATCCAATATCGAGTTCATATCAAAAAGCAAAACAAGCCATAAACAAAACTGTCAATCACAAGTGCTACAAAAGTGAAGTGGTTGTTGTGGCAGGGGCATGTACATGGCATGTACAAAAGCGGCTAATAAGACGACGCCGACGCACGCTGTGGCGCGGCCACGCTTCGGCCACGGACAGGAATACGGACAGGGATACGGACAGAGACTCGGACACGGACACGCATTAAAATCATTAAGATGACTTAATGCTCAATTTAATGCCGCGTCAACTGCTTAACAGATCTCGTGTAGATGGATCGCGGCTTGGGATCACTTCAATTGCTTCAGATCCCACTACGTCTCTCTCTTTCTGTCTTTTTCCCCCTATCTCTTTCTGGTTATCTTGATCTTGATGATGCGGAGCAACGTATGCAGCTTACCCATCAGGTCCTAATGCACTTGTGCCTCCTGCGCTTTTAATGAGTGCTTCTTCTCCCACCTTCTCTCCTTCTCTCTCTCTCTCTTTCTCTCTGTCGCTTACTCTCGCTGTATCTCTATCTTGATATTTTGGAACGCCAACGCCAACGCCACCGCCACCGCCACAGCCGAAGCCACTGCCGCCAGCTGTCAATTTAAATGCTTTTTGATGGCTTGTGTCTGGCCGCCAGTTTAATTATGGCTTAAATGCGAGACCAGTTGGTTGGGCCACTGCCTGCGCCTCCCCTTTTGCCCCATTCCTCCGTAGCACTTCACTCTCCCCTCCGACCACCCCCTCCCACGCACTCCTCTGCTTAACCCACCTTTAATTTGCTTGCTTCTAATTAATTTGTGGCCATTTAACCTGTGCTCTTGCTGTTTCTAGCCAGCGCCATTTTGTTCTGCAATTACTCTTTTAATACCCTGTACTTGTAACCGGTACTCAGGGTTATTCTATGAATTTTCCGATCAGAGGGTATCGAGACTGTCGACTGTCCGTGCGGTTAACAAGTCTCGATAACTTGTTGTTGTCTGTTTGGAGGTTTATGCGAACGCAAACAATTTAATTGAATTAATTGAATATGAAACTGTGTCTAAATGCCTTGCGAATCATTCGGTGAGATGATAGTTGTTGGGAAGGGGAAATAAAGTATACAACTGGAGAAAAAGGACCATATCTATTTCTGCCAGTGGTCTTAGAAGTTTTTGCAAATGAAAATTTAGTGATCAAGAGGCGCGAAAGGAAAACTATTTCTTATAAATTAAGATATAAATTATAAATTATAAATTAAATTATAAATAAACAATATATAAATAATAATTAATATAATAAACAATATAAACTCTTTCCATTTTTCATTCAGTTTTCATAATTATCTTAATATTTTTTGGTGGATTCTTAATAAATAAATGGTAAGAAATTAAAAAACTATAATTTAATTAGCATTTTTCTGCTCTTTAAAACAAAGGGGATGTGTATCTCAGCACATTTCTTACTTAAAAGCCCACTAAACTACGATCTAGCCTACATCAGCGGGTTTTCAGCTCCGATATACACTCCAACAGTTGGAAACTCCCTTAGTTATCACCTCGCTGCTGGGATCATCCAAGGGCTCAGAGCTAAGGCGATTCATAATCGCGGAAATATCAATGCCCACCCATTTTTCGCAAGTCGCGGTAGTGGGCGTGCTCGGGCGACAATCGGTTGCCGGCAATCAAAACAGAACGGGAAATGAATTATAAATGACGTGCAGGAGAATATTTGTGGCACCCGCGAGCGGAGGAGGCGCCATCACCAGCTGGCACCGCAAATCCACACTATAATCCAGTTAAAAAGCCTTCAAAAAAATTCGCCATTCCAAAAAAGTTTAAATTGGCCTCAAAGAAGGCAACAAACTTAAACAAAAACCAAAGGAAAAGGATTCTAATCCCATCTATGATTTCCGCTGCTTTCGTTTCAGTTCATATAGTACCCTGAATGCGAAGAGTATATTATTCCATATTCAAAAAGTGTGTTACAAGAAAAAGGAAAGGTTAGGACTCGGAAAACGATTTCTATTCTAGCTGAGGATCCAGATCCAGATCAATAATAGCTAAAGCAAGAACATAGAAGAGTATGCATCTAAATATTCTGCTTCTCAAATATGAATATCCATCATGTTTATGTTTAGTTAACATTTTTTTTCTTTAATTTATTCGACCTTATTTATATTTATAATAACTAAATATATGAATCGGAATACTGGGTAGCGCCTCGTCGGAATACTCGAATGTAGTGGTTCTTCTTAGTGGTTCTGTCCCCCCTCTCTGTTGGTGGTTATATGAACGATTACCGCTGACTGATTGCTTATCAGCTGTCGTGCATCTTGAGGCGTTGCCAAAGTGCAAGCCCCGACGCCAGTTACCCGCTTAGCCACCCCCTAAGACCTGCCCAGGACCCCCAGCCCCTGCTCTATTCAAGGCAAAAAGAATTGCTAATATAATTTTGCGATTGTGTTTCTTGATTCCGACGGACTGTGAGCTGGTAATTGAAATCGATTTGCCTTTCATGACGGCACCCAGTGGGCCCGACAAATGCCAAAATGATTCTAGTGGATCAAGCTCTGCGCAGAATTGGTATTTTGATTTATGACGGTTGTTGGCTTACCATCGCCGTCCGCTTCCGCTTTGCCATTGCGGTTCTTCAGGCCCAGAATGGCGTCGATTGTGTGGCGTGGTGTCAGCGTTTGTCCGCCAGGCCCGAATTTCCTTGCATTGTCCTTCAGCAAGTCGTTGCTATCTGCAGAAAAGTAAAGGTAGAGTGTGTGTGAGAGTGAGAGCGGGAGAGCAGGAAAATTAAAAGCCTGTTTGCCAACAGTTTGCCAAAGTCAATTAGGCGCACGACAACTTCTCGTCGGGGGACTCTATGCAAATTTGTCAGCAATTTCCAAAGTATTAAAATTTAGTCCGGCCACACACACATAGGGACACACAAGGACACATGGACACAACTTTATTTGCGATTTTAACGAGGTAAAAGCAGTAATTGCAGCCTGATCCCCCCCTGCCTCCTCCCCTAATGACCAGTTGTCACGCCTGCATCTGCATGCTGGAAAGTAGGCAACATGTTGCCTGATATTCTGATATTCTGATTTCCTGATGGTTTTATGCATTTTTAACGAAATTAAAACAAACTGTGTTTAAAGAACGGCGAATGTACAGCGCTTCGAAGAGCGAAGGGTAATCTAGGCGGGGGAAATGAAAATGGAAAATCCCTCTAATTGCCGCGTCCTGCAATTAGCTTATAATTTCTGTCTCAAATTTTCCCCTGTGCATGTAAATGCAAAAAACATTTCTGTGAACACGCATACACACATGCAGCAGTAGAGAGAGTGAGAGAAATTGTCCTGGCATGTCCGTGTCCGAGTCCGTGTCCGGCGGCAATTTGTGTTAATTAAATCTGTAATCAAGCAATTTCAAACGCTTTCCGGCTAAAAGGAAAACCTTCGTAACAGTTTTCCCTTTGCCGTCGGCTCTGCTGCTGTGCTGCCGTGCTGCCACAGAAGCTCCATGCTCACCTTCCGCAGAGATCACAGTGTTGTTGTTGGATGCCAGCTGTCCGGCGTAGTGCTCGTGGAACTGCTCGAGGTTCTTGAACTTCTCGACGAGAAATTGCAGGTTCTTGGCGTCCCGCACGTTGCCCAGCAGGTGTCGAAGGTGCTCGAGCTGCTTGGGCGCCAGTTTGGGGCTGCCGCCGCTCTGCTGCACCAGCTGCTCGAAGATGTGCTGGAATGTGGCCGTGGTAGTTGCTGTTGACGCGGCCGCCGATGCTGGGGTGCCGGCTCCTCCACCCGCTGCCACCTTGTGGGCCTTGGCCTCCATGGAGGGTGAGCCGAGCGGTGGGACTGCAGTCTCGAGGACGGTCGTGGCTGGCGGTGTAGACGCTTTGATATCCATTTCTAGTTTCGAACTTGTATTTCCTTCCTTTTCTTCACTCTTCTTACTTCAATGATATGGCAAATCACAGTCTAAATTCACGCACAAATTGTATTTATTTCTCTTTCAAATTCGATTTTCTTTCACTATACTTTCGCTAATTGTCAAACATTTTCCGTCACTTTCAAGAACCAAGAAGTAACCAAACCAAGAGCCATTAATATTGTTCCGACTCGCTACCGAAACCGTTGCGCACCGGGCCAAGGCAGAGTTGGCAATAAACAAGCCGCAGCGACTGTCGCTCGCTTACGGTCTGGTCCGGGTTCACAAATCGAATTGGAAACCGGTTGACTTCCCCACCTCTATATATGGGTACGCATACCCACGTCACATCTATAAGGGCGGAGCTTACCTCGCAGAGAGACTGAGAGAAAGGGAGAGAGAGAGCGCTGGGCATGAGAGAGGTGCGCAGGACTCCGGGCTCGGGGTTGTCGGAATCAAGGTGTTGAGCACGGGCCGGAGTGAAACAATGGGTCCTTTGGTTCCTTGGCTCTGCCAAGTGGTTTGCTTTTCCGCTGCGTAATAAAATAAACTAACTGCACTTACTGCCCGCCGCCCTCCCCATACAGGAGCCCTCTCTTCTCACGGCGCTGCACTTCCACTATGGAATTATGACTTTGGCCCCATTTTCCTTTACAGATTTTTTGACTACAACTGTATCTGGACCATCTCTACCATTTGTGGTTCAGGCCTAGCTACTCTCTCTCTACAGATACATATATTCATATATATATATCTGCTATCTCTATCCTATGCTGTGGAGCATGAAACCTAAAACGGATACATAAGTGGATTTTGTTAATATCCTGCTATTGTTACAAATTTGCAACTGATTGTGGAAAGGCGCATTTGTCAAGGAAATGGACTTAAAAGCCTTCACGGAGACGTTAGGAGCCCAGAGAATTGAGAGCGTATGGGAAGGACTTAAGACAGCGTAAAACGTGGCAAATTTAATAAAAACTTAAACAAAGAAAAATACCACTTAAGTGATACAAAGGTCTTTCGGACTTCAACTTGGGGTATAAATATGATTTTATATTATATTATTAGGCATAAAAGATTGAATATGATCCTTATATTCATAAGAATGATATATTCGGAGACACCCAATACGATCTTGTACAAAATGATTTCAAGAAATGATTTCGAGCAAGTTTCTAAACTAAAGTATAGCGAAAACATATATTTTTTTAAGCCTGTTTAACTATTTTGCCAAATTATTAAAAATTGTATAATTAAAGTAATATTTGAGGTCATGGCGTAGTGGATACTGAACTCGCAATTTCAAGTTTTGTCGTTGCAGAGAAAGTTCAACTTGTTGGCAAAACAATTTGCAAAGTTTTCCTGGTCTGATTAAGTACTCCTCTGAAATGTTAAAACGCTGACACTTGAATGTCAGCCGGGTAATAGTCAGCCAGTAGCCAGCCAGTTCAGTCAGCCATTAAGCATTGCCAATACCATTACCACAACCCTATCACTGCCAACTTCCAGATTACCTGTTGTCATGAGTTGTGGTTTTTCAGCCACCCTGCAATTTTCTTTCGAGTTCTCTCTGGGGCCCAAGGAGAGCTTGGCTCGTTTATGCTGTCTTCCATTACACGCTAAATGAAAATGCCAGATAGCCAGACACCAGCCGTTCATCACAGTCGGCCAGTCATCCGCCACAGACCCATACCTCATACCTGGCCCACTCATCTTCAGTTCTAGTGCCCAGTCTCCAGTACGATTCCCACTCCCATTCAGCTGTGGCCCTCCTTTGGCGCCACGATTCGATTTGTGCCAACTAATGAGCTCTTAATGTGCGTTTATTCTTACGCATAACGAGCTTGCCAAACGTAATTACGTCCTGCCAATGTGTGTGCGGCAGTTGTGGGTGTATATCGCTCGCTCTCTCTCTGACTCTGCCTCTGCCACTCTCTGCCTGTGTGTGTGTGCGTGCGTATATGTGAGAGGCTGCCATGTTGGCGCGCTGCTTAATTGAAGTGGAGCGACAGACGGCCAGGCTGTTTCTGGGGCATGGGGCATGGGGCGGACGGGGAGTTATCTCGTGAACTCGTATCTCTGTCTGGTCTGTGTGGATGTGGATACAGTCGCTAGCTGTTAGTGTGTGGGTATCTATTTGTGCCTTTGCCTCTGCCTCTATGTGTCTGTGTCATGACGACGCGTCGTTGCCTTGCGTCATTTTCATTTACGCCACATCCGCAAACGTTACCTCTTCTCCACACCACTTCATGCTGCTTTTCTCAGCATTTTTTTGTTTTAAATTAATTTGCTTTTAATTTGCTTTATTATGTGGCAAGCTCTCCTCCCTTCTCTGTATTTAATTAGTTTGCTTTTATCGTTAAACAGTTAAGATGGCATCTTTGAGCAGGCTCGGAGACTGAGAGAGGACTTCCGCGAGTCTTGGTCTCCCAATGAAGGATACGCAGCATTGGCTGGCATACATACAAATATACTCGTGGATTTTTGTGTGATCTAAAAAGCTAGTGGGTTTCGGATAGCATATCTCGGCCGACATTGACATGACAGATGTGTCCGGATGGCACTTAGCCGCGGCTCCTGCTTATCATACAGGACGGATCGAAATCGTTATGCGCAAGCGTGAATGTTTCAGAAAAGGTTGTTCTTGCAGCAGGAGGGGAACCAGTTTATTGAGTAACCTTACTCAAGCCTCTTCCTCCCTTTATCCCAGACAGTTTTGCTCACTCTCTCTCTCTCTGTCTTGTGCTGGAGGCGTGGCCTAAACAGTCGCTCTCTGAGCGCTTCGGCGCATTGAGTATCTCACACACACACACAGTCTCACGCTCATTCAGACACTCACACAAATGCCTGCCTTGTGGTAGACCATTGAAAAAGTGATGAAAATAACTCTCTGTCACTTTATTGGCGCTTAACGAGTTTGAGTTGATGAAGAATTTAATTTATGATGCTGCTCACACCATGGCCGACGCAAAAGAGATAGCAACAGTCGGAGAGAGAGAGCGCGCGAGAGCGAGTGAGGAAGAGATAGGGAGAGCGAGAGATGGAAGAGTGAGGGAGAGAGGAGGTGGTGCCGGCCCAAAAACCGCAGAGTACAAGGCTGGACTGGCAGGGAAAAGTTGGAACGAGAGAGAAAACTGGAGAGTGAGAGCTAAAAAAAAGAAGAAATATTAATGAACTCGTAACTGTCGCTTTTGCAAATTGGTCTACACGTATGTGTATGTGTGTGTGTGTGTGTATGTGTACATTTTTTGTAGGAGTATGTGTGCTGGTGTGTGGCACTCACATGGACAGGAGGCAACAGCAGCAGCCGCCGCTGCCGGCAGACGTCAAGCTTTGATGATTTAATTTTCTGGTCTTCTAATTTAATTTTATTATAGAAATACAGACATGGGCGCGTTTGTGTGTGTGTGTGTGTAAGGGACAGAGTGATGGGGAAGACAGTCGCTTGCTCGTGTGTGTTTTACACACACACGCACAAACACGTTAAGGTCCATACATACATGCATGCAAATTCGTTAATGGAAAATGGTGGCGTTTAATTGGAAAAGGAAGTGAGCCAAAGGGCTGAGCGACAGAGACAGGACACACATCAGAGAGTGGGAGAGGGAGACATGGAAACAGGGCCGAGTTTTCCATTCAAATTAATTTCATGTGCGTTCCCGCCTCTTCCGTCTCTACTCTTTTCAGGCGACATTTTGTCGGACCTTTTTTATATTTATTACATATTTAATATGATTTATTTGATTGCTTTTGGTGTGGTTACATAGCTACATATAACCATTTGCAATTAAATATATTTTTATTCATTCAAAGAAACGGTCGGGGACCGAGAAAGTAGAGTGGAAGAAGAGTTGCAGCTGCAGCTTCAGGTTTATACTTTTCCGCAGAGTTAATTAAATTAAATATTGCAGAGCGATAATTACAAAATGGCGTTGATTAATCGACAACCGCCATATTGATTTTGCGAACAATATTTAATGATTAACAATTAACATTGAACAGGGATTTTGGATGCAGGACCGGAAATGACATGGACATGCCATCCCAGTCACTGCCCCTCGTCATCCGCCAGGACACAAAGGCCTTAATAAAAGCAATTAAAATTCATTAGCTGCACATACACTCTTATGCACAGAGATACACTCACACACATACAATCACACACTAATGCCATCATGCGCTCGTTTTCTCAATTATTCATTCAATTTTGCATGCCACAAAAGCAACAGCCAAGGAAGCAAGTTCAGCAAGACCTGCCCCAGCTCCGCCAACATACATACATATTCATGCGGCTAAATGAAAACGGCAACACTTAAATGCAATTTGCCTCAATTTTCTCAGCAGCAGAAGGAGCCGGCCCTGGCCCCTTACTCTCTCTCATTCCCTCTTTTGCCGTCTCTGTCACCGTCGTGTTCGTCGTCTTGGCTTAGAGCATCTTAACGTCTTTTCATGGCACTTACATCGTCATTCTATTCGTCTAATTTCATTTTCTTGCCATTTTCAGTGAAGCAGAAACTACGTGCTCGCTTGGGGCACAAGAGAGCGATTACAGCTGGGATTGGGAGTAGGGCTGGGGATGGGGCTGGGTCTCGGCCTGGGCCTGGGCCTGGATTGGAGCTGGCTCCCATGATTCAGCTACTGGAGGAGTTGGATTTTGGCAGCCTGTATGCCTCAATCTAATTGCATTCAATTAAATATGTTGATTGATATGTTTGTATTGCAGCGACTGCTTCGATTAGGCCACAAAGACAGCCGTTTCTCGATATTTCTGAGACTTTATGGTTGTGCTCTGGTGTGACATTGTCGCAAATCAGTTTGGATGAATCACATCGAATAGTGATCCGCTGCCTATGCAGTTTTTGAATCTTTAATGCCTTCTTTTTGTTGAAAACTATTTTTAATTGGAATACGCCAATGA